TGGGATTTCCGAAGGGGTGTGGCAGAGGGGGAAGTATGATGTTCTCCCCGATCTGAGGGTGAGCTGGAGCCAGGGTGCCGAAGGCACCCGGGTTCTGGGTGAGCGTCTGGATGAAGGCGGAGAGCGCCGATTGCACGTCGATGGTGAGAACCGGAGGGCTGACTTGGTCATCGCTCCGGTTTTTCTTCTTGGCCTCGATGCCGAGGCGGGCATCGGGGGCATTTTGTTGGATCTGAAGGCGTAGGTCGACAGCCGCCTGTTCCAACCCAGCGATGACACCGCCCTCGGGAGCCCTGTGAGAGGCTTCGGGGGCGTTGACGTCGCCGAGGGCCAGGTTCTTGTCTTCTACGTTCTTTGAGTTGGCACGTGTTGTCCTCACCATTTTGATAGAGGGCTAGTGTTTTGTGTTTGGTCGAGGGGGAGGGTTTCTTACTCGATTGTTCGACCTCTCAACGAGAGCACCAAATGATGGATAGTCTACCCGGGGGTATATATCCGAAGGGTTATTACGGGGAATAACTTAGAGAGAAGTCAGAGCAAGTAAGTAAATGTAGAGAGAGAGTGTATTCAGTATGAATGCCGTTTTCAGCGTGGTTACAAATGAGGAAATGGGGTGCTATTTATAGTAGCAATAAATGCCGGCCAGGGACACGTGTCAAGCGCTCATTGGCCGAGGGGTCACCTCAACTGGTTGGCGCTGGCAGCCGCATGTGGCCACATGTAATGCGGCTGTTGGATGGGACGTCTATGCGGGGTACGGTGATCTGTACGCATGTGAGGCGGATATCTTGTTGAGTGAGATGCCTTCGGCTATAGAGCAGTAGCCGAGGGCTCTTCCACCCGATGGCACCCTGGTGCTGAGGGCTCACAATGCCGAGGGCTACTGTTTTCGCCGTTTTCTCCCAGTTTCTTAATTTGCTTGAGAAACCCGTTCTGTGAGAATTTGGAGCCTTCGGCCAGGGGGCCGAAGGCACCCCTGTCGCGTAGTGCGGACTGCTTGGTACTCTGGGCGCTGTGATTTGGGCCTGTTGGGCCTTTTGGGCCTTCGCTGGAGTAGTAGGAGTCTGTGGGCCGGGGGTTCCCGTGCCATATACTCCATCAATTGGCTCCTACCAAAATTCCCTAAACTTGACAAACTAATCCCCTAATTCCCTAAACATCAAGACTTCGTCAGACTTATTCATGGGTAAGGAAACAGAGGCCATATGGCTATGGAGCTCAATTAATTGGGTAAACAATAAACGGTCAGGCTCAAAGTGGCTTCTCCTAAAGGACTTTTTTCAAGTGAGATGGATGATTTATGAATTAAATCAATGGGTGACTAATGCTTTCATCCTCTGAACAACTAGATTATAGTGCAAGCAATATAAGCCTAAACACTTTAAAGATGTTCTAAAAGCATAGTCAAAACGCTAGCCAGCTCACAAAGACACATTTTAAAGAAAAATTTTCAAAAATTTTGACATGACTTTCCTATGAATATACCACTAACAACTGCGCATGCTAACTCTAAAAAATCCCATGTGATAACTACTGCCCGAATGCCCAATTCACTCCCCCACACTAATACTTTGGCATCGCCCTCGATGACCAAAAATGCACTATGCACAAGGGGTAAAGAGGAAAGGGTCACGCGTGCTCAATCTCAACTCAAGTCAACATTACAAATAGGCGATTATAAGAGTCGCATAAACTTCTCTAAGGCGCTAGTCGGTGCAGAACTAAACTGAGTCAAGTGATCCTCGGCACATCATCCCCAAAGTAAGACCCTGAGCTGCAAAAAAACAAAACACACAAACACAAAAACAAAAACAACAAACAAATCAAAAACAAATGCAGAAATAAGCTCGAGTTGCCTCCCGAGAAGCGCTATTTTAACGTCGTGTGCCCGACGATACCTCATATGCTGTCAAATAGCAAAGACTCTAATGGTGCACTAAATTTCAAAGCTTCTAACTTTCGCTCCACAAATGCCATTAAGTGGCGCAAATTCTTAAACTCTTGAAACCACGTAGGAATTATGTAGTCTTCATGAACCTTATCAGCACAAAAGTGAAGTATGAACCTCACATCCTCATGTTCAAAGTGCATCACAAACGCCTCATTTCCTTTCTCGAATGTACCATGAAAATTCTGAGTACCTCCTTTTGACTCGCTATCACTCTCCATGAATGCATCCCAATTCATTTTGTCACTCTTCTCATTAATATCATCCAAGAAGTTGTGATCATTCTCCACACAAAAAGAAATATCATCACCAAGGAATGGATCAAAGAAATCCAAATCTACCACATAAGAGTTGATCAATGCATGTGTACAAGAGAGGTAATCTTGCTTGTGGAGCGGGACTTCTTCATTACGAACATCATCTACCTCACCCACACTCTCTTGGGACGTCTGATCATCATTTCCCAACTCATCTTCAATACTCAAACCTACCTCAGTAGCACCATCATCATGACTGATCTGCTCCATGCCCTCATCTAGTGTTGAGACTAATGGTAAATCAAACGACTGGGGGGCTTCTGTATGAAAATCATAGTGATTTGTGACTTCATCAGTTACAGCTTGTATCGTTTCCAACTTTTTCCTGTATTCTTCGAAAAACAATCTGACACTATTATCTTCTTCTTCATCTTTAAACATAGGTGGGTCTTCAAATGCATCAGGAAGTGTATCATCCATCATATTCCCACCATCATAGTCTGACTCGCTCACGTGATCATCCCTATTGGTCTTCTCGGATTGGTCTTCTACCAGATGGTTCCTTATGGTATTTATATGTTTCATGATGTTTGAAGTTCTCTGCTCCATGGCTAAAGAGCTTTCCCTCATATACTTTAGGCACTCAGACAAAGTTTCTGAAAGTGTATTCTTACACTGATTTTGTGGCTCATTACTTGGCAAGGATGTAGGAATGACTAAAACATTTGTCTTTATTTGTAAATTGTGGGGAGGAAGAAGTGGGGTATGTAGTTGCCCAATAAGGATGGTCATTTGGAGGAATGGAGCAAAGACATGAATGATGACCTCCTCCACAGAAGGAACAAATGCTATTTTTAGGAAAGCAATCAACCAATTCCTCAGGACTTTTAGTTCGAATGAGAAATTTCATCATGAAGCCTGGTTTTGTCCAAGGATATTGTGGATAAGGATAATGATTAGGAGAATGAGATTGGGAGTATTGCGTATTTGGAAGAGGGTAAGAATAGGAAGATGGAAAATTTTGTGATGTGGAAGAATAATATTGATGATGCGTGTAGAATTGAGGAGGAGGAGGAGGAGTGTAAGGAGGGTATGACGTATATGGTGAATATTCCATGGAGGTTTGAGGGTAAGGAATTCATCCAGGAATTTCGCTGAATGGGTTCATCACATGCCTCTTTGAAAATTACCTGAAAGGTTAGCACAGAAAAATCTTACGGAAAAACAAAAACAAAACTAACTAGAAAAAATCTCGTTGAAGTTAATTAACTCTTAAAACCGACACCGTCCCGGCAACGGCGCCAAAAACTGATGTGAGTTTTCTCGCACTTAAAATAGATTGTAGTAAAGGGTGTAAGTATGAGTATCGTCTCCACAGGGACGGACAAAAAGGAATTAAGAATTAATTAAATTCAGCAATTAAAAAGAAATAAAATAAAATAAATTGTGCGAGATTTGATTGATTGGAAAATTAAGTTGCAATTAAATGAATACTAAAGCTAAGGGGTTCATTCTAATTAACGAAGAAGGGAATAGGGATTGATTCCGGGGTAACCAGATTTCTGGAAGATCAGGTCTAATTACATGAAATTATTTTATTTGAGCCTAGCTAGTCATTACTAAGTTCTTACCGCTCTCGCGGCGTAGAGTACAATAATTTAGGGGACCAGACTGATCTCTCATGCAACAGGATCCTAAATTATTGCCAAGACGAGCGAGCTTACGGCCCTTTAATTGCTACTAATCTCTGAGCGAGCGATTAAGTGTGTGAGAATGTGTCCTATAATAAATTATACGTAGTATCTCTCTTAACTTATTCTATAAGCAATTGTAATTCTAGCGCGCGTTCTAGGTTACAAGAGACAGTAGTTAAATTATTCAAAGAATCCCAAAAGATTGATGAACAAGGCTGAAAAGCTCTCTAAATTTCGTGCTAGGCACTCTCTCTAAGCCCCCCCTCAAAACAGGGGTTTAAAGGCTGTTTAAATAGGAAAAACGGAGCAATTCGGATTGAATTAGGACTGAAACGGGGCACGCACGGCGCCCACACACGCGTGCGTGGTGTCCCTGCGTCCGACAGACTTGTGCGTAAAAACGTTGGACGCATGCGTGCGTCCCCCCACGCACGCATGCGTGGCTGTCAATGAGTTTTACGGCTTCTCTAGTCCGAATTTGACAAAACTTCCTTCATGAAAGTTGTAGATAATGAAGTCCTCTATCCACCACAACTTGCCGAATTGGATTTGAATCATCCAATCAAGAGATATGAATAAAATGGTGGAAATTCTCATTCTGAAATCGCAACAGGGATCATCTGCCTTCATCGTCTGTTTTCACCTTTTTCACCGTCCCCTCATATGATTTGTAGCACTTGAAGTTCTCTTTCATATGGAACTTGAGTTGTGTCTTTTGGATGCTTCTACAAAGAGATATGCTTGAACGATTGGCAGAAGGGCATCCTGATCGCCATTTTCAAGCTCTATTCGTCTTCTTTTGATCTCATAGCCAATCTTTAGAGCTCTTTTATCATCAATTTTTCATCGTGAACCTTCCGGTGACTTCCAAAGCTCTCAATTCACTCTCGAATGCTTCTCGAATTATCCCGATTGCTTCTCAAGCGCTGGTGCTGGGCTCAAATTCCCTGATTTTGACTCCAAAAGACATAAAACTCGAACCAACGCCTGGTAACATAATTTGAGCTAAAATTGAAACTTGTAATAACTTGAAGCCCGGAAAACCATCACAAGTAGATCCCAACATGCTTGTCTGGATAAGGACTTATAAGACAGGGAGGAGGGACGCGAGTACGTAAGGTGGGTGAACTCAGTCCTCAAATTTGTACCAATCAAACAGGTGCTCACCTTGGAACACTTCAAATCTGGTTTGATATAAGAAAGGAATGCTATGGGACCATTACAAAGTGGCTTGAGTTTGCTTTTGAGAGACGAGTTGAGAAGTTAGAGTTGCTCCTTCTGAATTATGAATGTGACGATGAACAATTAGAGGACAGGTATGTCTTCCCGGAAGACATCTTGTTCCAAAACAGCAGTGATATCCCTCACCAAAGTACTACACTTTTCAACTTCAATTCCCTGAAAGCACTGTGTTTGACCTATGTTTCGATCAGTGATGAAGCTATTGAGTTTTTCTTGCGCAACTGCACATCACTGGAGCAATTAGTTCTTGAAGACGTAAATCAATTATCAAATCTTGAAGTTTGTGGTCCATCTCTCGTGTTAAAAAGATTGTATATGATGTATTGCTTTGATTTGGTATCCGCACCAAACCTCACTTCGCTTGCAGTTATGGAAAACAATGGACTCGTGCTTGAGAGTGTCCCAATGCTTGTTGATTTAGACGTTCTCTGTCAGAGAGACCGAATTCCATTGTTAGTTCCTGCACTATTTTGCTGATTTTCCCAATGCTGATTTTTACACATCATCATTACAGCTGCTGGCATACAAACATAATATAATTTGTTCTTTACAGTTGGGTATGATGTCTCTTGCAGGCAGGTGATATTGTGCGGTTCAACTTCCCTGAGATGCATGGTTTAAAGAAACTGGTTGTAGTTTTTTACACAACACGTGATGAAATTCTTGTTGGACTAATGGCATTCATTAGGATATCTCCCAACCTAGAAGAACTTGTGTTAAAGGTGGGTGGGCCTGACTACTTGCCTATTATCAGTTGGCTTTTGTACAAGTTGTCTTCCCTTGTCCTATTGTTTTGGATATGTGCCTAGGTTTATCTTATTTAAAAGATTCTGGAATTTTGTTGCTTGCATGTTGTCTTTCTATTTCATCGTTTATACGAGAAACATTCAGATAGATCAAGTGACTGCTCGTTATTTTTTCATGTGCAGGTTACATTGTTCTCGGATTTGTCATTGGGTAGGAGACGAATTAATAAGGGGACACCATTTCCACACCAACACCTTAAGGTGCTCAAGTATTTAGGCTATTACGGCCACGGCAGTGATTTGGAACTAGTGAAGTCCATTTTGGAACTAGATCTTTTGCATGGGCCACCAGATCCTGCTGAGTCGGAATATGAACAAGTCTGCAGAAGTTATGCAAAGCAACAACTAGAACCTATAATCCCTCCCCACATTACATTTACTATCCAATAGATTCTTTTGAGTTTTAAGCAACGCTGCTGCTACTGCTGCTGCTCTGTACCAGGCCACCAGCCATCTCAATAACTTCAGCTATTATTCCTTTTGCTCTACTCATTTGTTTATTAAGTATTACCCGTTTCATGGACTAAAGTTACTGGTGCAATTAGCATTTATTCTGAGATTCAAATATCCATATGTTACCAGCTTTTCTGGACGTTTTGTATCCAGAAAGATGGTTGAATGTTCCTTAATTTTGATACCAAACTTTAATAATTTATCAAGGAATTCAATATAATGGAACTAGCTGGAAACAGAAGCAAAATTTAATGAACATTCAAACACATACAAACTAAGCCACGGTACACCTCCAAGACATCCAGCCAACACATACGCTTAATTGGAACTACATATGAACTTTATTAAACAATGTAGCTTGGCCATCTAGCTAGCACTCTGGAGGGAAGCCCTGCGGGAAACGTCGGTAGTCAGTGCAGTAATTGTAGATCATGAAATTCCTTTGAACCCATCTAAGCCTTCTCCTGCTATAGGCATCAAGTTCTTGGTTCTGCCATTCTCCATCAGAGAACTGAGAAGCTTCTGCTGCTGCTGCTCCAGTAAATGCTTGGGCATTGAAATTTCTGTAGTATGCTGTGAAGGGTGCATGGGACCAATCCGTCTTCACCAGCCCTCCTCTCGTGGCCCAATCATCAGCATTCCATAGGCTAGAGTAAATCTTCATTGGCTGGTTCTTCGGAAACGGCACTCCCATTGATTCTGCGTTCTTGAACACTCTTATCGGAGTGTTATCCACCATGAAGCTACAACATGCATTTAAATGTGCTTAGTCATGGTACGTCCAAGCGCCTGAAACGCGCGTTAAGTTATAGAAACAACATAGCTTAAATTGGTAGGTAAGGGTATATTACATGATGTCTTGGGGCCTCCAGATGAGAGTGTAGGTATGGAAGTTCTTTGTTGGGTCAAACCAGAGGTAGAATTGTTGCTCCCTCCCACCTTTCCCTTGAGCGTAGATGTTTGTGTGGAGAATGTAAGGTTGAGCGGTCACATTTCCCAGGAATTCAAAGTCTATTTCATCATGTGTTGTTCCTTCTGAAGATAGCTGCTCATTATTTTACAATAAAAAGTTTAAAATAAGTAAGTTTCAGTTAGCAAGAAATTCATTAGGACATGGTGCTGTATGAGTTAAAATAATTAGATGTCACATCTTTGTTCATTGTCTCATTGTTTCTTATGAAAATGTGCCTTGTTTTGTTTATATTTATGGCATTTTTCTTTGAAATAGAGATGAAAGAATATGTATATGAGTAATCCAAAGAAAGACATGGAGTATATACATAGTAGGCAGTGACGGTGCCAGCAGAATTGCCAGCAACAAGCTTGAGCTGCATGTCAATGCGCCCAAAGAGATACTCTTTCTTGGACTGAAAGCCCGACCCAGAAACTCTGTCTAGAGACAAGGTCAGAAGCTGGCCCTTTTCAAACCTCTTGGCCCGGTTTCCCCCCCAAGTCAAGTCAAAGTCCTCGTTGAAATTCCCAGCTTTAACACAAACCATGCAAGAACTCATCACCATCATCATCAAACCCATCTCCAGCAACATCTTTGAGTACCCAATAATGTTGGAAGAAGAAGAAGAAATCCCCCCTTTAACAGTATACATGGTCGGTGACAAATAATATAAGTAGAGGTAGAGAGGCTTTTAATTTATTTGAAGTGATCAATATATGACATACTATACAATATATATAAGTAGTACTATATGATAATGCGTGTAAATAAAGTGAAAGTGGGGATGTATATATATAGCTAGGAAGGAGGCTATCTAGGATTCTAGGCAATGGACGTGGAAAGCTATAATGATTAAAGAATAGGGCAAAATGCTTGTGACTGTCTATGTATGGGTAGGGTGGGATTGGTATGTGATTTTGATAGAAGAAGGGGAGGTGGTAAATGTGCTAAGTTAAAGCTGTTGCCAGCTACACAAGGAGGCTCTTTTTTTTGGCATTAATGAGCTATTTGGTTTTATTATTACTATGATCAACCCATTTTTGCCTACGTACAATAATTTTGATCATCAAACTCTTATTATATCTATAATAATTGGATGGAACCGGTGGGCGTAGTTCAACTGGTAAGTAAGGGGTGTCACAAGGGGTAAGTCCCGCGTTCGTATCTCGACAACTGCGATGAAAGATTACTATGTTAAACAGAGGCGTAGCTAGGGGAGAGCCAACCCTGATCCCGGCCCAACCTAAATTTAAAAAATGTCTGTATTTTTAGTGTAAAAAATCCCGTTTAAAATTTTTTCTAAAAATATTCTTTGTGCTGCCCAGTCTGACCCAGTGTTCTGGCTCCGCCCCTGATGTTAAAAATGCATAGGGTCTCTGCAATTACCAGGATCAGAGCCTCACTCTCTATCAGTCAGCTTGTGATTAAAGTCCAATTTACATATCTCATCTAACTGTTCGGTCGTTGTTGGGGGCCATCAGGGATGGGGTGTCATCTTTTTTTTTTATAATTGGATGGAGGTTTTCGGTTCAATAGTACTTTTAGTGAAATTAGTTATATGATGTAGATTTTGAATACAACTTCCAAAACTTAGTCTCAAAAGAGTTTGAGGTGGATTAGCATGAATCAATGGATGATATCACCACAAAAAGGAAAAGATAGATAAAAAGATAAGCTACTTTCACCCTATGTCAATTTTAAGTATGAGTAGCTAATTCCATATAAGGTTTAAATTGGGGTTAGGGTTCATGTGTTCTTAAGGTTCTGAGTTTAGTTTTTAAAATTCAATTAATTTATGGATAATTGTATGAGATTAGTTATAATTATCTATATGAATTTGATCACCTCATATATGAATGTTCGAAAATAAATCTATTCTTGTCTATGAGAATTTGAGTCAAATTAGCTTCGGTCTTATACAAGTAATTTGATCTTAGAAATAAGATAGGATTGTGATAATATGATTTATTTCTTGTCAATGAGAATTGATTTCATTTTCTATTCTGGAATAATTGAAAACCAATTTACCTAATTCTAATCCCGAAAGAACATTTAGAACCCGAACCATCCATCTTAACCCTGTTTTAAAATCTAGAATCAATCTAATTGATTTTCTTACTCTATTAATTTTACCCTTGTTGTTAATTAGTTATTAAAACCGTCCAAATCATTATTTTGGAGAGACTGCTAGGACTTGTACTAGCGTGTGATCACATATCGTATTTAAAACTTTTGATTTGCCACTACTTGAGAGACAATACTCGTGATCTGATTATTCTCTGGATTAGCCAAATACGTTTCACCCACGTAAAAAACACCGATGAGATCTTTCCACAAATTTCTTCCCATGGAGGTTGTTTTTTATGGTGCATTGCACTTAACTGAGGAAAGTGTTTGTTTGGTACATCAAGTTGTAAGTGGGGGGGGGGGGGGGGGGGGGGTAAAGAGTACATCATTGTGCAATTGGGATTCAGAGGTACATTAAATCGTCAAAGCAGTGTTAATTTAGTCCATCGGGCTATTAGGAAGTTTAAAACGCCTAGGTGGCAAGTATTAGCCGTTTGTGTGGTCAATAGTGACATCCAAGTCAGCTTGAGTAGGTGACCTCTGACCTGGGCATGACCATGACCTTAACCCGACCCGGTGACCTCTGCCTATTCGCAAAAACATCCTCCATGAAGTGAGCTTTGAAAGGCCTGTTTTCTCGAACCCTAAGAATCACCAATGGCTGGGAGAATGAGAACACGAGCAAATGCAGCAGCCATGCACTTAGCGGAGACGAAGAACGCTTGAAGAAGCTATTCCGGCCATGTCATGTTCCAGTTCAGAGCGGTAATAACAAAACTCATTCTCCGATCGCAGAACTTGCTAAATTCATCACTGTAATACGTCGTCCCCTTCTTCATCACTTGGTTCCAACTAGGGTCTCTGAAGGCCACAAATGAGGAAAATTGTGATTGGCGTTCTTCTTCGGTGTTTAAGTGCTTTGGTGAGCCGTTCTTCACGAAAGTGCAATTATCGAAGTCCTGATGGAGCACCTGGGTTATGAATGCTTGCAAATGGTACAAAACCGCCTTTGAGTACTTCAAATTTAGGGTTAATAATCTATACATGTGATGGAGTATATGACCCGGGAACCCCCGGTCCACAGACTCCTACTACTCCAATAAAGGCCCAATAGGCCCAGGAAGCACAACAGGCCCAAATCACAGCGCCCAGAGTACCAAGCGGCCCACAGTGCGCACTAGGGGTGCCTTCGGCCCCCTGGCCGAAGGCTCCAATCCTCACAGGAGGGCCAAATAAGGAAAACAAAGTTACAGGGAGAAAACGGCGAAAATCAGTAGCCCTCGGCACCTAGAGCCCTCGACACTAAGGAGGTCCCCGGTACTCAGAGCACTCGGCTAATCATCTACAACCTCAGGTCGGGGAGAATATTATGCCTCCCCCTCATCCACACACCCTCGGGAATCCGGTCCTCCGGATTGGGAACGCCGAGGGGGTCGTGGCCCAAGATACGGCCTCCCATGAAGTCCAGTCCTGGGACCGCCAAAACGTGAATAAAGAACAACTCCGGACCTCCGCCCTCGAGATACTCGGAGGGGCGCAAGACCGCCGAGGGGTCCAAGACCGCCTCGGGGGGAAGGCGTTCCAGAGGCCTCAGGAAAGTGGCGGATCCGTCTCCAGGGCCAATGAAAGGCGTCCCCCTCAGGACAAAGGCAAGGCACCTCTCCATGCCAACGACGCCCGCCACCAAATCAACCAGGCCCACTCGGCCCGCGTCCATTCGCAGGGGGCGGAGGCCCTCCCGAAGGACCCCCGGGACGAAATCATTGCGGCCCTCCAGCACCGGCTCGATGAGATGGAGGCCACCAAAGCACACGCCACCACTTCTGCCCCTCATACACACCTCAA